CTCTTTATCCATATATAAGTTAAATCAAAATAATATGCCTAAATTTGAGTTTTTCATTTTCAAAAGCCTAATTTATAATTTGTTTATTATATCTCCTCCATCATTTCCACCTCAATAATTATATCTAGAAATTTTAATCAACCTAATGTTACTTGTTCATGGAATCAATTGATCCTTTTAGCTTTGATGAACCATCTTCTAGCATAATCATGAAATAATTTTAAATATGCAAAAATGATTTTGAATCAAACTATGCCATCCTCCATTTTTAATTTGATGGTGGTTTAAAAAATTATGTGCTTTTAAATTTCTTACATATATGCTCCTTTTGTCCTTACATGAATCTATTTTTATAACCTAATTGGTCTATGATCATTAACAAGTACAAAGTTCACAATTTTTAAATTAAAATGAAATTCATTACTCACAAAGTATAAAAAAATATTCACTAGCTAGACAAATAAGCAAATTCTATGAAAAAAATGCTTTAGTGGTATAAAAGCACTTAAAAATGATTCGAAAATCATTTGAACTCTTTCTTAATTCCATGTTACATATGTGTATCTTTCAATCCAATCATCAAAATTAAAAATGCCGCCAAAAAATATTTTGTATACTATATGTAGATTAATTTAATGTTGAATAAAATCACCTATGAGTTATCCATGTATTTTATCTTTTTTTGTGTCACCTATGGATGCTTTATACCAAAATATTGTATAAATAATTATTATGCTTCAAATGCCCAAAAATTGATGGCAACATTTGAAGTCTAGGGCTACAGTTTGTAAATTAAGTTTTATTCATATTAGTTATTAAGTAAATCAAGATAATGAAAAGTGATGAAATGTGACTATCTTAATATACCTCATTGTATTTTTTTTATTTTTTATTTTTAGGCCAATTAATGCAAACACACACCCATATCACATACATAAGATTCAAACTCAAGACCTCTTAGTTGATAGCAAAAGATCCCAACCAACAGACTAAAAAGAGTTGCCTAATATACCTCATTATAAGTAAAGCAAATGACAGAGCAAGATAAGTTTGATGCAGCTGAGCAATGCATCATTGTTGTGATCAATTATAAAGTTATTGCAATTAGTAGTGTGGCTAAGTAGCAACAAGATGGATCAACGGAGTAGAGATGCCACTTTTGGAGAAGAGGGAGAGTACAAAGATCGTGTCCACATAAGGACAATATATATATACCCAACAATAGGGCTTAATTTTTCCAAGAGGGGTTTTAGAAAGTTATTGTCCATAAGAGAACAAATATACCTAATAGCAGATTCAAATCTTGTTAATACTCTAGAGATGGTAAAGATTTATGAAGTTGATCTTTAGTGGTGATAGTGGTTGTCGGTGACAATAACTTGTGGTGGTCATTGGCAACAATGATTAGAAAATGCAAGGGAGTTCTTTTTAATTTTCTCTATCCTTCATCCTCCCTTCCCTTTATATGAAGAATAATAGTCTATTTATAGATTTTTGGGAGTGGCATGCTCCATAAAAATGGAAAAAATCTAAGGAAAATTAGGAGTGCTCCATCAAACAATCCATAGAACAAAATTTTCGATCCAGGAACCTGTCTTCTACAACGACCTCTTTTTCAATAACGCGTCTCGACGGAGTCGAGTCCTTTTTGACACAAGGGGAGAATGATGTAGGAACATCTTAGCTTTTATTATGCTTAGGGACTAGTTTACCTTCATTGGTCTAGATAGTTCTATTTTTCCTCTTTAAATAGTTGGCTAATGTAAAAGGTTTAGGCTCATTGAATGAAATATTAGTCTTTGAATCCTTAGAGCTTTCTTCTTCTCCTTCCTTGGATTGGGAAAATCGAAATCCTTCTTGCAGGTCGAGTCTTCCGATGATCCACTACATCAATATGATTACTCAATTAATGTTTTGAAGCTTCTAAGTATGCTTCATTTCCTTGTTTTGAGCCCATTTGGACTCGGATTAGACCGATTTTGCTGTCGTTGGATTTATCTTGTCGAGACATTCAGTTTGATTGTAAGTTTGCTATGATTAGAGTTCGAATGCCCAAATTTAATTTTGAAAGTTTTTAATTCAAAATGCATCGAGATTAGTACTTAGCAAGATAATTTTTGGTGACGTATTAGGAACCATAATAAAACTAACATAATTATTCAAACTCAAATCCTTAAGAATTTCTCTTATTACATACTTATATTAAGCTTTGAAATAATAATCATATATTTTTTTCTTAATTAGTGCATTAAAAATATCTATTGAGTTACATCTAATTTAATGAAGTACATACTTCAGATTTTTCTTTACAGTAGTCTTGATTTGTTAGAGATCAAAAGAAAAGAGATCAAATGTACAAATTATTTGGCAAATTTCTTAGGAGATGCTACAACAATTGAGATTTACAATAAGAAAATATTTTCTAATGTATTACTCGGTATTGGTCTTCACATAGCGGTATTTCTCATTATTGCCAAGCAATACCTAGCAATACCGAGCAAATACCGAGTAACACAATGGTGACCGAACATAGAGCTACGTCCGGTCACCGGACGTAATAATTGTTCCTTAGGCACAACTTCCTTTCTACTTTTTAAAGTGGTTTTTTTTTTAATTTCTTGAAATTTTTTTAATTAAAATTTTTGTATTAAAAATTATTTTAAGAAATATTAAACATGTTATCCCAAACAAAACCTCATATTATGGTTATTTTTGAAATTTTTACACTCGAACATTTATAATTGCACTTTGTATACTCTTTTACTTTTTAAATTTTAATGTTCCTCTAATCTTTTTTTTCTTTTTAAATGTTCCTCAAACTTCTAACACTAAGTCATGCAATAAAGAGGATGAAAAAGTATAAATAAATTTCATCGGATAATTCAATGTAACAAACTCAAGCAAATAGGGGCATGTGCTCCAAATACTCCCACATCAGTTTAGCCTATGCATACATCCTTTGTTGAAACTTAGGCTTCGTCTAGCACGATTTTTTTACTGTTTTTTCAATAAAATTTTTAGTATAAAAATTAAATTTTTTTTATACTAAATAAAGATGTTCAAGTAAAAAAATATATTAAACAAAATAACTAATTCCAATATTTTTAATTGAAATGGATTCGGACAGAGAACGATTCTTTACTCCACAATCCGTCTCGTTTGCATCATCTTCTTCCACCTCGACTTCCAATATTGATAGTGCTTCCAACAACAGAGAGAACGAAGAGCGCTAGGGGTGTCAATATTTGACACGACATGAAAACCCGACCCGGAAAATCCGGATTAGACCCGACCTGTTTGAAAAACGGTCGGGTTCGGGTTGACCCGAAAACCCATTTATTTTAAAAAAATTTGTATTCCCGCCCTTGCCAGCTGCTCCCGCCCGCTGCCCTGCGAGCCTCGTGATGCTGCCCCCGCCCGCTGCCCCGCGCCGTTGCTTGCCGCCGCGCCGTCGCCCGAAACCTGGTCGGGTCAACCCGGCAACCCACCGAGTCGGGTTCGAATTCGAATTTTCGACCCGTTTACCTACCCGGGTTGGGTCCGAGTTCAAATTTATGACCCGTTTGAATCCGAGTCAACTTCAGATTCGACACAAACCCGGCCCGTGACCTGAAATTGACACCCCTAAAGAGCGCTACTCTTTTACTTATATCAAATCGGAAAGTACTGCCCATGAAGCAATGAAAAAAAATTTCTTCTTACAATTGTATTGGATAAGTTCAAAGAATGGGAGTCCATCAAAAAAATGCATGATCACCACATTGATAAAACAGCACAATTAATGAAAATTTATGATAATTGTTAACTATAACTAAGAAACCTATACATAGTTATACTTTTTAAAGTATTATTCTTTTTTTCTCAAGCAAATCGTAGGGACCGTCTCGAATTTTTTTCTATTCTGATTTTTAGATAGCAACTACAATTTTGTTTGGGTATAAAATTTTTTTTTTTATGCTTTCGTACGACTTTCTAAAAAATTTTGCGACAGAAAGTTGTATTTTGTCTAGCATACTCAAGGCATCATTTATGATGGCTTTCTTACTGCTTTATTTTTCAGATCGGAATCATAATTTTTGTTTAACCATTATTTTTCATTGTTTTCAATAAATTTTTATGCTAAGAAGTTACTTTCTATACTATATTTAAAAAAATTAATTTATCTATAATTGCTTTATAACCATCTTTACAAAGAACTGTACGTAGCCAACCCGAATGGATCATAAGACCTTGTTTGGGATAGCTTTCTTACTGCTTTGCATTTCAAAAATCGAAACGGCAATTTCTATTTGGCCACTTCTTTTTTGTTACTTTAAAAAAATTGTACAAGTAGAAAGCTAATTTCTACAATAGCTTTAAAAAATTATTATTTTTAAATCAATTTTACATAGAATTAAGAAAGCTATATCAAATAAAGCATAAGTTTCTTTTTTCACATTAATTTTATAATCAACTTTATAAAATATTACAATTATTCCAAACAATATAAGACTAATGTTAAATGGCTATCATGAAAATTAAATAAAAAAAACAATGAAAATCCCTTGCCGCGCAAATTTCGTCGCCCTGCCGTTGCTTCTTTGATAACCCGCCAACGGCCAACGGTTTAATGGTGTTCCAGATAAGCCGCACCGGGAGGTAACCGCACCGCCATTTCCTCCCGCCAAATGCCATCTGAACGAAGAAAATCGTCATTGCACGCTATGAAGCTTATCCTAACCCGCCAACGTGGACGCTCGCTATTCCAGACATCGGCGCCTCTGTTATAGCGCTAAGTTCGGATCTTAAATTGAGCCCGAGCACGTTGGACAGCTCTCCACACGGCAAAATGCGAATGCTCTTAACGGGGGAACATTTGGGTTTCAGAATTCTTTCCCTTTTAAACCAAGCCCTGTCACCCACCACCCTCTTCTTCCAGACGCCGATCGTGAGAAAATTTTTAAAAGAATTCGTAGAAGATATATCAAGCAGAGAAATCTGGAGATCGTCGACTAGGAAAAATGGATTCAGGAGAGGAAAACGAGAAGTCGGTGAAGCCCCAAATAAGCCTGGTGAGACTAATCTTCGCCTGTACGGTCGCCGGAGGAGTGCAGTATGGCTGGGCTCTCCAGCTCTCTCTCCTTACACCCTACGTACAGGTTTAATTATTCCCCTTTCCCCTACTTTTAGGGCTTGTTTTGCTCGATATTATGTACATTTTTCCCTTCGTTTAGATAATAACATTAATCTATTGATTTTATTGAAGCATAGGAGATTTTGCTTTTATTGCTGTTGTTCTACTCTTCAGATAATCTAAATGTTGACAAATTTGAACGTGCAATTTGATGGTTTTGTAACTAACGATTTTTATGTTCTTTCCATGATTTATAAAAACCGGACCGAATCAGCCATGAATTGGTGGATTCAGTCCAGCTTAAAACTACATTCAATGGGACTAGTTTGAAATGATCATAACCAGCCGGTTCGAATTTAGTTCAATTTTCTCACATTTTGATTTTGATCAAATGACTTTAATAAAAAATTGAAAAGTTATTGCAAGTTTGATCCCTCTCTGATTTTTTAAACTTTAAGCCAAATATTATTCTAATTTGGAGTTGTATATTTTATAAACTATCAAAATATAATGTTCTAAATCTTTGATTTAGAAAGTTTCATGATTTAAAATATTATATGTTATATTAGTGAAAATATCATTATTGTATTATTATTATGTCATTCAAATCCTATTAAAATAGTTTTAATTTTATGTCTGTTGATTGAATCTCAGTTGAGCATTTGAACCTTATACATTATGTTGTTCTGGTTTAATGTCCAATCCAATATTAAAAACCTTCTTCTTTGCTCCGTTGTCTTTTGATTTTTTTGACTGTCTCACTTCAAGGTTATTATCTGATGTTTCTATTAATGGGAAAGGTGATATAATCGTCCAGCTTTTATCTAAAAGAAAGGGGGCATTGACAAATTAAATTTTTTTAATATAATTTTTAGCCAAAAGATAAAATTCCATTCAATAAAAAAGATAATACAATAAAGGCCCAAATGCATACAACCCCAAAGTACATCAACAAAGAAAGGGAAAACAATCACAAAAAAAATGAACAAACATTGAAGAAGGCAAAGAAGCCAACCGAACTTAGGACATGGATAAAGGCTTCCTGCAACCACCCCGAAACCAGTCAAGGACAATCCAATGGCGGCAGCAAGACACAAGCCAAATAGAGGATAACCACAAAAACACAAGCATCAACCCACAAACCAAATATGCAACCGCAGAGCACGAGAGCATGACCACCAAGTTTGCCAACAAGCCAAGGCCAACAAGGTGGTGAATAGAGAGCAACCTCATAATCATCCAAAACACCAAAAAATGCTCAAAAATGAAGCACACGTCATCCAAAGAGAGAGGGCCAACCAAAAGAACTACTTTTTAGATTTACTTATGCGTTTTTTACCACCGCCATGGGGGAAGGCTTGATCAACAATGTGCCCCACCTTCAAACTATTCATATCTTGAAAATCATTCACATGCTAATCGAAATCATCTCCTGCCTCCCCGCAAGCCGGGGCAAGGGACTCATACAACCAATCTGATTGATCCAAATTAGGGTTATTCAACGACAAGTCTAGTTGAGCTTTCAAATCTGTGTTAGATATAACCAAAATGGGAATATCAACAAAAGCCACATTTCCCTTCGAAACATCAATAATATGAGGCAAGGCCGGCCCTAATGAAGACAACGGTGAGTCATGAGAAGAAGACGACTCACTCAAAACAATCTTGTTAACATCACATACATCTAAATTGAGGCCATCTACAACCTAACAAGAATCCTGAGCAGTTTCGACATTCAAAACCATATTAGCACCAGAAGCACCAACAACAATGGAAGGCTCATCCCTTCCTAAAGCTAAAGGGACAATAGGAGAGCCCATGACATTAGCAGCAAGCAGGGGAGTGGTTGAGATGGGGCAAATTGAATGGTTCATAATAGGCATAGCACCCACATTATTCATGCTAGATAAAATCATTGGTGAATTAGCAGTCATATAAGCAATCGGAGAAGGATCAACTTGTTCGACAGGGACAATAAGGCAATCCTTAATAGGCCCAACACTTTTTTTTTAATAGGCCCAACGCTATGGATCAATAAGGGGTCAATCGGAGAAACAATCCGGTTGTCCACAGAGACAACTGAAGGCTTAGCAACGAGAGTTGGGTTCCGAAGGGTATTAAGACTAACACATGCATCTTGAGCATTCACATCAGCCGAACCCGTTGATGAGCAACAACAAGACCAACACCATCACCAACAGGAGGAAGCAAAGCATTAACAGTTGTAGCCTCGGATAGAACATGATCAACAGGCCCATTTCCCATGTTATCAACATGTTTAGATGGGACCCTAACTAACTGGGGATGAATGATACAACAATTAGTTTTAGAATGTCCCGGAGCTTTACAGTGATCACAAAATAGAGGAAACTCCTCCATAACTACTTTTTAAACATAACCTAAATCAGGACCAATCCAAACAACATCAGGATAACTTTTAGAGATATCCAGTTCAACAAGCACCCTAGCAATAGACGGCCTTGAGCCAACGGCAGTCATGTTATCAGTTTTAAAATGTCGGCCAAAGAGTGAACCCAAATCATGAAGAATGCGCGGTTAAAACAGCTAAGGCCTAAGATTTTGGAACGAAACCCAAATCTGAATAATCGGCGACTCCACAGTTATATCAAAAAAAGGAGACCACTTAAACAATTTTATATAGTTGTTGGAGACAAAATAAGAACGGTAAAAAAAATTCTACTGTAATCTATATCATTAGCTAGCTTGATTAAAACGTGACGCGGATCCAAAACAGTTACGAATCAATTATGGATCAATTTCACATTGAAGAAAAACTTACGAATCAACTCCATAAGAGATCTTTGATTCGGGAATTTACCAACCAACGAAAACTCAAAAAGGTTGAGCAAAGGGCGAGGATTTTTGCCTCATAAATCCAAAGGGATGGAAGCCGTCGATGCGTTCGAAGGTTTGAGGCCTAGGAACTCTGACGAAAGAGAAGCCCCCGGACAGGGCTTGCAGAAATGAACGAGATTTTTTATCCCCGTCGAGAAAGCCCGGTCGATCAATCCGTTAACCGCCATCCAAATCGCGGAACAACTGGATGTGGCACAAACGAAAACAAAAACTAAAAGAAAAGCAGTGAGAAGGAGGAGAAGTCACCAGGGGAAGAAATCCAAGAGGAACAATGGCCATGGGGAGACAAAAAGGATCGAACAGCTGCTAGGGCAGGAACCCTAGCAGAGAGTGGAAAGGGGCATTGAAAAAATTAATTGACATCTATAACTCATTAAATAGGGTTTGAATATTATTTATGATATTGAAATTACAGTACAGAAAAAATGTGACATCTGATAATAACATGACAATAATACCAGATATTATCGGACAAAGCAGCCTCCAATTGATTCTGGTTCTAGATCTTAATACCTAAGAAGAAATTTGATTTGGTTATCTGGGAAGGAAATTAGTGAGAAATGTGTAAATTATAGCGTTCTTTAAAATTGCCTTCAAGGAATTCAAGTCTGTAACATTTCCTCTTGATGCTTTACTTGTGGCAGACGCTTGGGCTTCCACATGCATTGGCTTCCATCATGTGGCTCTGTGGCCCGGTAGCAGGATTTGTTGTAAGCGCTTAATATCATGTGATTTCTTATTTTTATGTAGTTAACGTGACTGAATTGATCAAATTCATTCATTTTATATATTTCCTCCATTTTCTTAGGTTGGACCTTCGATTGGTTATTGGAGTGATAAATGCCAATCAAGATTTGGCAGGAGGAGGCCTTTTATTCTAGCTGGATGCATACTTATATGCTGTTGCGTGAGTGATTGTGCATCTGCTCTTTCTCATTGATATGTAATATTTGCTAATATCAAACATTTAAGTGTGAATTTTGTGATTTAGGTGCTTGTGGTTGGATTCTCATCTGACATAGGATCTGTACTTGGTGATACAAAGGAAAACTGCAGGTTAATAATTATGATTACTTTTTAATTTGGTGATAATGTGTAGATTTCTGGGCAACCCCGCTATGTTTCTACGATTTTGGATCTGAAGGCCATATGTTTTGGTAAATGTGTTCAGGACTTATGTTGGCCCTCGATGGAAAGCAGCTATTATCTATGTGGTTGGCTTTTGGGTGCTGGATTTCTCAAACAACGCAGTGCAGGTAAGTTTTCCCACTTGTTTGTTTATTTCAAAATTCCAATTACTTTTGTTTAAATTAACCTCAATAATTTTGGATGCTAACTACCCAAACACTGCACCATTAGGAGATTTTGCATGCAAAAAAATTAAAATTGAGTTCATTACCTTATTTGGAGATTTTGCATGCAAAAAAATTAAAATTGAGTTCATTACCTTGACATTCTTTAATCTAATCTCAGGGTCCTGCTCGGGCAATGATGGCTGATCTCTCTGGCAAGTTCTATGCATACATATCACTGTTTCCATTGTAATGTTGATTGAATTTGTTGTTTCAGAGATACTTCTGTTATGTAAATTCTTATCCTCCAACAACATTAGTGAAATAGTTAATTGAAATGCCTTATTGTATGATAGGACAACATGGATGCAATGCAGCGAATATAATATATGCCTTTTGGATGGCTTTTGGAAATATCTTAGGCTACTCTTCCGGGTCTACTGGAGGCTGGCACAAGTAAGATGGAATGAAATCTACATAATGCTTGAATGGCTATAAACACATGCACTTGTTACAAGTTCTTAAAGTTGAAGCCTCTTAGCTAACATGATTCTCATAGGTGGTTTCCTTTTCTATTGACAAACTCTTGTTGTGAAACCTGCGCAAACTTAAAGGGCGCCTTTTTGGTTGCAATAGTAAGCTTTTACTCCCTGACAATTATATTCCATTGATTTTTAGAATTGACACAGTTTTGCTTCACTCATGTCTAAGCGGTTAAAATTAACTGAGGTTTGATGAAAAGAAATTGGATATTTTTATCTGCTTCAGAACCAAGTTTCACACTGCTACAGTATACATTATTTAAATGCTATAAATTTCTTCTTGTTCATGCAGGTGTTCCTTCTCATTTGTTTGACAGTGACACTGCTCACTGCAAAAGAAGTTCCACGATATGAGTTGGACCCAGCTGAAGCAGCACAGGGAAGTTCTGGAATATTTTCTGTTTTCAAAACTCTGAAGAGTTTACCAACTGGAATGCCCTCTGTGCTTCTCGTGACATCCCTAACCTGGGTAAATTATTGAGCATTACTGCTGTTTCGATCACAAGAAGATGGCATTTTTTTAAAGAAAATTTGGTCAGAATTTCTATTGATTTGGATTATCTCAATCTCCATGCAGCTTGCCTGGTTTCCATTCATCCTTTACGACACAGATTGGATGGGTCGTGAAATCTATCATGGTGATCCCAGCGGAACAAGGGAAGAAATTGATACTTATAACAAAGGTGTGGAAGATGGGGCATTTGGCTTGTTGCTAAATTCGGTAATAGTGTTCTCGCTTCGTTGCTTTTTTCTGTTTCTATTTTTTTAATTTTGACAGCTATAATGTAGAAATGATACAATTGGTTTTCTTTCTCTCATTAATATGAGATTCCATGGATTGATATATTTGTTTCCTACGACTAGATTGTTCTTGCAATAACCTCATTGCTGCTTGCTCCAATGTGCCGGAAATTGACCTCAAAAGTTGTGTGGATCATTGGCAACTTTATTTTGTTCCTTGCCATGGCTGCCATAACAGTTCTTAGTGTTATTTCAACTAATGGGTACCGTGGCAAAATCCATTCTGCAGTTGCAGGACACGATGAAGTGAAAATCGGAGCTTTAATTATATTTGCTGCCCTTGGATTTCCTTTAGCAGTAAGTTCGATTCTCTGATCCCCAACTCCTATTTTACCTCCACTTATTTACAGTCCTTTCTCATGATATATTTTCTCATTGCAGATTCTTTATAGCATTCCTTTTGCTAGTGCCTCACAGCTTGCTGTGAATGAGGGAGGCAGCAAACAAGGTTAGTTTGATTTGATCCGTTTTTCCCTTCTGTACTTGGGAAAAAATTAACTAAAGATTATTGAGCAAAAACTGGCTAAGCACGTAGGAATTTTCTCTTATAAGATATTTTGTTATTTTGCCAAACACTTTTTTTTTTTGTCTCACACAACATTTGTTTAGAAACACTCTTGAATGTTATCTTACAAACAGAAGAAGGCTATCTTGTAAAATAGCAAGAAATGGCTTGCAATGCAATTAGATGCATCCAGAATAAAAAAATTTTGCCCCATGCTTGTCATGCTATGCATTTATATGAAACTTCTAATTCTGAAAGAGAGAATATGGACTTCGCAGGACTGTGCATTGGTGTTCTGAACGTATCCATTGTCATTCCCCAGGTATTTTTCAGGCATAAGAGTTGAGCATACTTAGGCTTTGTATGGCTCGAGGAAAAGTAAATCAAATTAAGGCTTCGTTTGGGACGATTTTTTTACTGCTTCTTAAAGCAGCTTTTTTTACAAAAATTTAATTTTTGTACTAGGAAGCTGCTTTAAGAAGCAAAAAGAAAGCCCTCCCAAATGAAACCTAAAGCTGTTTTAAGAAGCAGTAAAAAAGTCATCTCAAATGAAGCCTTGGGACAACTTTCTTTCTGCTTCTTAAAGTAGCTTTCTAGTACAAAATTTTTAGGAAACTGTTTTAAGAAGCAATAAAAAAAGCCGTCCCAAACGAAATCTAAATCTAAACAATTTGTAGGTTGATTTGAGTTTTCAACTTTTTCATTTCTTTTCACTCAAATTCCTAACATCCAAACACAGACTTAGGCTTCGTTTGGGATGTCTTTCTTACTTCTTCTTAAAGCAACTTTCTAGTATAAAAAAATTAATCTTTAAACTAGAAAGCTATTTTAAGAAGCGATAAAAAAGTTGCCCCAATCGAAACCTTAAATTCAATTACAAGTGATCATAGTTTTTCGCATTAAAAAATAATTTATCATACTCAATACTCACCATATCTGATTTGATATTTAGGTTATAGTTGCTCTAGGTGCTGGCCCATGGGATGCCATCTTTGGCAAAGGCAACATCCCAGCCTTTGCTCTTGCTTCAGGCCTAGCTCTACTTGGTGGTTTCATTGGCTTGGCCATTCTGCCGAAGCTCTCAGGGGATTCTTTAAAGAGCAGCAGCTTTGGTTCCATTCACTAATGCTCTCTCTACATCCAGGAATCAAAGAAGTATAGTTTTTTTCCAAACAAAAGAGTTAGCATTTTATACTCAATATAGCAAACCAAAGAATAGAGTTTTTAGCTTAATTTTATGTCATTTGACTTACTGGGCATTGCAATTTTGTACAGTGACTACTGACTTTGGAATTTGAGAAATTTTTTTTGACAGGCGAATAAACATTGCTCTAATTTTTGGACAGCTATAGAGTAGAAATGTTACATCAAATTAGACAATTGTATTTGTAACATGACTTTGTATTTACCCAATTTGGTATCAATTTAATGAATTTATTAATGGAAGTCACCTTCTTTTCATTATTTGTTCATGATCTTATTATTATTATTTGGTTTTCCTTAATTAGTTTTGATTGTCTACTTTCATATTCTTAGCTTTTATTTCTAGTTGGTAAGCTACATGCAATGCAATTAATGTATCATTTGGGACGACTTTCTTACTGTTTCTTAAAGCAACTTTTTATTATAAAATTTAAAATTTTTGTACTAGAAAACTGTTTTAAGAAGCAGTAAAAAAGTCGTCTCAAACAAAGCCTAAGAATGCAACCGAGTTAGATCAACTCATTAGATGGCTTTGCCTTGGCCAGATAAATGACTTGTGAGCTGAGATTGATGAACTAACAAGTCAGATTTGAGCAAATCCTGACTCAACTCGTCAATTCATAAGTCATCTAATTTAAAAAATATTAACATAAATACACTTTAAATGTATTAGAATTCAATGATCTAAATATAAAGCTGTTGAATTTTTTTTTTTAGAAGTATACATCTCTTATCTCTAGTAATTTTATATTATTTCTCCTCTAATTTCTATTATTTTTACCAATTTGCATGAATTGAAATCATCTTCTCTTTTATAATAAATTAGTTGGCTTGTAAGCCAACTCGAACTCATAGAGTTAAGCTTAAGCTCAAGCTGATGATGGCTAAAGCTTGACTCGACATGCTTACAACCCTACATTAAGTGATTTATAAAGGTAGCAATCATCAGGCCTTAGTTGAGTTCATTGAATCTGCCTTTTCCTACAGTATGATAGAAGGGATGATATCTCCAAATTGGTATGACAGTCGTCCCAACGATTCCTAACCTCAAATTAGAGAAATTATTTTGTGTAGAGGCTGAACGCAGCTCGATGTCCGGTTCATTGAGTTCATTGAATCTGTCTTTTCCTAGAGTATGATAGAAGGGATGAATTATAATTCATCATTTAAGCTTTGTACCACTCCCGTAGAATCAATACTCATCTTTTATCTCTATAAATAAAATTATTTCATAAAAATATTCCTCTAAACATTTTCAATTTTATATGACACTTGCATTTTTAATATTTTTTCCATCATTTTTATTCATTTTACATCTTCATCATCATCTCTTAGAAATTCAAAAACGCTCCTTCATTTTAAACAATCATGAATCATCACATAAATCTAATATTATTTATATTTTAAAAAATTTATTTATTTCTATTACACAAATCTCTTTATCCAAACATTATGCCATCTTTCAATAGTATCATTCATAATAATTAATTTCACATTCATGAAACATTAATATATATCAGCGGCGCAACGGGCAGTTCCGCGCGGGCGAGCTGGCAATTCTGTGCGGGCAAGCGGGCAGTTGCGCGGCGGGCAGACGCGACGAGCGATGCCACTCTCGAAGCGACGCTCAATCAGGCTCGGACTCCGCGCTGGCAACTTCTGTCAGCCCCGATCAGGACGGGCTGCGGTTCATTTTCGGGTTTTCAGGTCAACCCGACCCGTATTTGCAAACGGGTCGAAAACCTTAACACGAACCCGAAAATTTCGGGTCGAATTTTCGGGTCGTATCCAATATTGACACCCCTATATACACATTTAGATATTCTCATAAACCTTATTGCACACGTAATACTCAAAAGCGCCTTTTACCGGAAAAGTGGTCTGCTCAATGCGACAACTTCTCTGTACAGTACCACAAACCAAAGCGGTGGATGGTGCGCTCACCAATGCTTCTCCTTACTGTAACCCTTTCGCATCCCCAAGTACCGAGGATGATATATCGCAGGACTTTTACAGTAAAAAAAGGTTATTTTTCACTTCAACCAGTTAATTTAATCAGTAAATTTTCTTTAAATTTTTAAAAATTAATCACATTTACATTAAATTTATCTTTCCGTTCGCAATGATTAAGGAAAAAAAAAATTTTCTTTTAACTGTCTCAAAAAACTACAAAACTAAGAAGAAGCTCACAGACTGAAATCAGAAAAAGCCATGGTGATTTACCTTCTGCTTAAGTCCTAAGCAAAGTACTTTAATCCGTGCATTATCTACTAATCATCAAATAACGTTTCAGTATCTACAATGAGAAGCATGATTAGAGCATGATGAGTCCACCACATGTTGGCTTCTCTTGTTCCTTGCTTCATCCATTCACCTATTCATGTGTTTTTTCAGAAACCATCGGATTCTTCGATCCCGGCAAAGATGGCCGTCCGCCACCCGCCGCCCGCCGGAAGAAAAAAATCATTTAGGTTTGACAGTTATAACTCTTGGAAGCTGGCTACACTGTTTGAAGTTGGGGTACAAATTGCACTTTATTCTCCTGTTGTTACTGTTTCTAATAATACTACAGTACCGTTAATTCTGCATCAGTTAATAGGCATTTATATATCTTCCATTCCCATTAGTCCCCACCCTTTCTTTCTCACAATGTCAGTCTTAACTTGATTCATTGTGACCCCATGTATCACAACCAAATGACCTACAATGGACTCCCTTCGTCTTCCCCCTCCTCTCCTCCGCCGAACTTCTTCCCTCAGGGATTCCTCTTCCACTCCTCAGTTGAAACCGAGAGTCACCAGCTCTCCCCTATCCTCCCCTCCACCCCCTGCGTCAATTCTCAGGACTTCGGAGGTCAAGCTTTGATTTTTGAAGACTTTTTGATGTTTTAACGGCTCGGATTTGATTTGTTTTTGGTGTTTTTGGTTTCAGGAGTGGCGGCAATGTTGGGGAAGAGGACTGTGTGGAGTGAGGAGATGGCGGTCGCCGCTGTTGCCGGCGAGGAAGAGCTCTCTGATGATTGCTCTTTGCCTGGGGAGAAAAAGAGAAGGCTGAATATGGAGCAAGTTCGGACATTGGAGAGAAACTTTGAGCTTGGGAACAAGCTAGAGCCAGAGCGCAAGATGCAGCTCGCAAGGGCGCTTGGGCTTCAGCCAAGGCAGATCGCCATCTGGTTTCAGAACCGGCGGGCGAGGTGGAAGACGAAGCAACTAGAGAAGGACTACGAAGCTCTTAAGAGAGAGTTCGAGATTGTCAGGTCACAGAACGATGCTCTTCACGCCCATAACAAGAAACTTCAGGCTGAGGTGATAATGGAAGCTAGCTACACAGGCCTTTTTCAATTCCTTGGACAATATTTTCCTACAGGAAGTCCTGATTTGATCTAGTTTTGTTGATTTAATTATCTGAGGAATTTGATGACATTTTGATTGATTAATTGCAGCTATCCGCTTTGAAAGGAAGGGACGGCGCAGAGTTAATAAATCTGAACAAAGAAACAGAGGGATCCAGCAGCAATAGGAGTGAAAACAGCTGTGACATCAACTTGGATATCTCAAGAACAGCAGCCATTGATGGACCTGCAATGAATCCCAATGAAACCGGCCGTCAATTTTTTCCTTCTTACAGACCAACAACCAATGTGACACAATTGCCCAAGATAGAGAATGCCATCCCCACCGCCGCCGCCGCCGGCGGCAGTGGCAATGATGAGAACTTCTGCAACATCTTCTGCGGCGTCGACGAGCCATCCGCCTTCTGGCCATGGACGGAGCATTGAAATCTGATTGTGCAATAAGGAGGTGCCGGCCTTGTTGGCTGTACTAGCTGGCATCTTCGATCTCTAAGTTAAAAAATCATACTATCAGATATGCGTGATGCCTAATTATGCAAGCTAGCTAGTTTTCTGGAGATAATATTCTAGCTAGCGGAGAACAAGGTTGAAATAAGGGAGGTATTTCTATGCTTCTCCCAGTACAAATGTACCCCCCTTCATTCATAGAGATTGCTAAAGAATCTTATAAAAGAGTTGTGCTTGTTCAACAAAAAAAAATTAAAAAAAAAAAAAGAAGAACAAGAAGAGCTGTGCTTCACAGGCCAATGTTTGTTTAAATTGATTTGACGATTCATGTTAACTGTCTTATCGATTTGCCTTTTATTACTGGTGTGTATATTACAGGTTTACTATGGACTGTCACGAGCATGGGAGATTAAGATCAGCAGGGTAATTATCCTCCGAAAAAAATAAAAAAAAAATTATTATATGATTCTTTAGGTAATTTGTCCCCGTATATTTTTTTTATTCTTTATTACAAAGATTTTTAAGTAATTGTCTCCCGTAAAAGTTTTAAAATACTATGGTCTTTAGACAAATTGCCCCAACATAATTAAACACATTGTGTAGAGATGTTATTATTAGGGAACGATGAATCAAGTACAAAGAAATATCCTTACAATCAAAATTTGGTACCAGGGGCTTGGATTCCCGACATATCTGTGAAGCGTACAATGATGAACAAATAGGAGTCAACTTGTAAAGATATTTATGAAAAAAAAAAACACTATATTTTTACGTATAAGTTTGCCCCCCTAAAAATTAAGGCTGAATTCGCCCCTGATTACGAGTTAAATATGTGAAGATGTAATGAGAGAAAATTTAGCTGTTATTGTTACTAAAGAGAGGGGTTGGTGCATGGGCGGATCCCCATTATATTGAGCGGGGGCAAATGTCCACCCTTAAAACAAATTTTAAAACTTTTTTAGAGATGATATTTTGGAATATTTTGAATATTTTGGGCATTTTGTCTCCTTTGAAAAAAAAAATTTGTCATAATTTTATCAATCCTAAGTATATTTGCCCATTCTCCATCTAAAAAAATATTTTGCCCACCCTGAAAAAATAAGCTGGATTCCCACAGATTGGTGTAGAGATAAAAGGTAAAAGGGAAGAGGCAGGGAACAAGTGGAAATGTCTAAGTTTTTCTAGTAAAAAAGGGGTGATGAAAAAGGAAGGGATCCACCATGTACTGGCTTAGCTTTAGTTTCAGAAAAGTCAGCAATCATGATAAGACTGGACGGGACCATGTGACCCACTGCCACCCACTATCCTGTAACTCTCTTGGCTTCGACTTGGATCAGATGGAGACAACTACAAAAATAAATATTTATAATTTTTAATACCAGATTCTTTCTGGTTCTGAATTGCTGACCAAAAGAGCTTAATTCTTGAGTGTGAAGTAAGGCAACAAAGTCTTATATGGGGTTCTAGTTCGGTACCCATTAGGTACACATGCTTTACTCGGGCGGGTTTTGCCCACCCACATCCACCCATGGTGACTTTCGGGATGTCATACCCACCTATATCCACCCACTTTACATGCTTTTTGAACACAGTCTGTCACGGATTGATGACCTTGAGGCTTGTTGCATATCAAAATTTATCGTAGTCGCAATATGGTTAAGTGCTGCACATTACGTTGTGAGAATTGCAGTAATATAAGATATACGGTGATTAGCAATGCAAATCGATTTATCCCTCAATGTTGAGTACCCACCCATAAGGTCATGGGCGTACCCATACCCACCCATTAGGTATGGGTGGGTGTGGATATGGATACCCAATACAGGGCTCTGTAAGGCAATCAACTTAGATTTTATTTGATATAATTTTTGAGATAGAAATAAAAGAACAATATTTATCATTAGCATTACAACTAGAAAGGACCAAAATCAAACTCTCCCCATATTTAATGAAACAAACATATTAAAATAAGCAACAATAACCTCTCGTATGAGTTGTAATCATATGGGATTAGGCATCTTAGGCCAAGATGGCATCTTAACTCCCATAGCTTCATATACTGTGCCCTCAGCACATTATATAGACTTTCCTCGTCTCTCTCTCTCTATTCTGTAAAGAAAGCAAGAGATGAGGAAAATTAAAACAAAAAAAAAAAGGTTAAGGTAAATAACTAAATTTTTATCCTAGTAAGTTTAAATTTTAAATTTTATTTTGAAATGAATATAATATAAGTTATTTATATAATATATCATCGTAATTATTTTATCAGAAAATTCCGATAATTTTTTTCTTTAGAGAAAAGTTATAATAATGAAAAGATTTGTGTTATTAATTAAAAGAGATGATTCTATCTTCAAGATCATGAGCTTACATTAGGGGTGCAACTGAGTCAAGTTAGTTCTAGCTCGACTCGATAATAGGGTCGAGCTGTAGAGCTCGAACGTGATTTCGAGCTTGAACACCCTTCCATTGAATTTGCGAGCTCATCGAGTAGCTCGCAGAACTCGTGCCTGGCAGGAAAAAGGATTTGCGTGTGAGAAATTGAAATCACGACTGGGTTTGGGTGGAGGCGAAGGACGATAGGATGGACGACGACGTCTGTGACGGACGATGACACTGGCAAAGTCATGGATGCTGGCGAATACGGCTCGAACTCCTGCTCGATGAGTAGCTCGACAAATTCTCGTTTTCTCTGTTGAGTCTCGAGCTCGATTTTTGAGCTCAACTAGACTTCAAGCTCGGCATTCGATCGTTGAGCTAGACTCGTACAACCTCTGACTAGAGCTCTACTCTACTCATTTGCACCCTTAGTTTACATTCATTGTTTATAAAAATAAAAAATAACAAATACACAATAATTTTTTTATATATTACACAATACTAATTATAGTTTTATCAGATGATTCTAATAAAGTATTTATATATTATATTATCATACTATATTTTTATTAGAATATTCTGATAAATTTTTCTTGAGCGAAAAAATTACAGTAGTAAAAAATATTTTACGAGATGACTATAGTTTTATGCTCATAATTTGAAATTTACTGGTTTAAAAAATTAAAAAATATATATATTTTAAAAAAATAACAATTCGAGTAAGTAGAAACAGCTCGGCAAACAATTTGTTAAATAAATTGACACCTCTAAATATCGATACTTAACATTTCTTCAATCCAATCATTCTCATCATCATTATTTCATTTAAATTTTAAACTTGGTTTGTGACAGCTTTTTTATTATTTTAAAGCAGCTTTTTAGTACACATTTTTTTTACTAAAAAGCTGCTTTAAAAAACAGTAAGAAAACTGTCCCAAACAAAGTCTTATGCTTTATTTGGAGCGGTTTTTCACTTCTTCTTAAAGCATCTTTTTAGTACAAAATTAAAATTTTTGTACTAAAAATTTACTTTAAGAAACTGTGAAAAAATTATCCCAAATGAAACTTTAATCCACCACACATACAATCTACTACACCTAACATTTATTTATTATTTTTAATAATATATGTCGACATCTGACCTAAATGTATCAAATATTATATATTTTAATAACTTCAAATATTGAATCATCCATCGTATGATGCGAGGTTGTTCTAAAGAAAACTGTGGACCTTCAATCTATTTGCCTTTGGATTCCACAAAATAATTGAAAGAATTTGCTGAAGTACTTGATGACCAGCTTGCCCACCTCCCTTTCGAACCATCACTTCAGATTTGTATAGGCTCTTCAAAAGAAAAAAAAAACCAAAGCTGTATTTGGAAGGAGAAGAAACTATACGTTGGGAGGGACCGAAGCACTGTTAAGTGCGTAAGCTGAAGCAGGCATAGATCTATTTTATTTTATTGGCTGCTAGCTACCACAATCATGGATCCGTTGAATCTTATCCCCTTGTGTGTCGGTGTTTTTTTTTTTTTTTTGGGGGGGGGGGGTAACGTTTTTTTTTTTTTTTGGGTGGGGGAATAACGGGGCGTAAATGTTCCGTGGAAGCGGGGCTGGAGTTGGGGATAACGGGTCACCGAATGCGGATCATAGGGGGCGGAAATGTTTCGTTGACAATGAACCACAGTTCGATCCATCTTAAATTGGGGCACTGAATGTAGATCATACAGGACAGAAACATTTCATCAACAATGAAACACAGCCCGATCTGTCTTAAATTAAGTTTGATTTGAAAGAATTTAAAGAAATATCAACATGTTCTAGCTACTTTATGATTGTATCTAGAGTGCATAATTTTTATGTAATTGATAGTAAATAATATGATTTATATGTATTATAATTCATAAAATACTCCTCTTATATATTTATATATAAAGGAAATTATGTGTGAATATGCTAAATAAATTTGTATTTGAATGAGCTCAAATATTATATATAATATTCAGTTTGAGATTACTATTGAATATGTTTAGTCTTTATGGTATACAAAATTTTAAATAAATTTAATATATTTTAATCTTATTGGGATAAAATTATCTAAGAATATTCTGACATAATTATACATAAATAAAATAGATGATAAAAGTGGCCGGATGTCAGAGGGGGGCAAATGTCCCCTCTTAAAATTTAAATTTTCTTTATATATCAAACATATTTTTCTCGTGTAAATATAATATTTAAAAAGAAGATCAATCCATGCTCCCTCTAATATTTTAATGTTTAAGGTTATAAAAATCTCTTGAAAAAAATGATGATATTTTAAAAATAGTCTATTTATACTAATAATTAAATCTTCTTTTTACATTGCAATTCTATTGTAATTTTACTTTAATGATTTTATTTTTTTTTAAGGTTATTTTAATTATTTAAAATTGAAAATATATACTTAAAAAAATATAAATTTATTAAATTATATTGCTTTGATTGAATGAAGTATTGAAGTTAAAATTGAAAAAAAATTTAAACCACTTAACTTTTCAATAATTGCCTTTTTATGATTATTATGATTTCGTAATCACTTAAAAGTACTTATTTGATTATTTAAAGCTAAAAAGTACGTGTTGAAAAATTGATTTGCTTCAAATTATATTTTTTTTAATTAAAAGGAAAGTAGTTATTTTGAAACTTTTATGTTATCATAAAATTTTGAAGGTTTATAATTATATCATAAATTCTAATTTATATATATGTCTAACATCTCCATCTTTATTTAATTAGTTAATTTATTATTCTAAGGTTTAAATTTAAAAAATAAAAGTGTTATTTCATGAACAAATTAATAAAAACTGCACGGTATTATTTTTTTTTCTTTACGTCTAATGATTATTCGTGTGGCAAACCTCAGCTAATTTGGCTGTTTTGGGCTGTTGGGGACTTGACAGTCTTGGAAAGG